ATTTGAGAATGGTTGCAAGGCATTTTGGGAAGTGGACAGACTGCATTTACAAAATACTAATGTGAGGTGGTGGATAAGTGTGAGAAAATACAAACAAACTGTGATCCACGCAGTAGGGCATATTTTTACTTTTCGAAAAATCCATTTAACCTGTTTCACGTCTGTCTTTTAAGTATCAGTGACATGAAATTAGTCATGACTCCCTCCTCGACTAAATAAACATGACAAGCGCAAAATGGGAGGCCTGAGATGATGACATGCTTCAAATATTAAAAGCATCTGGCAGGCGTCTGGGTAAATCGCTGACAGATTTATCGGTGAAAGGAAGAGTCATTGCAGATAAGGATGTGAGTGACACAAGCTTTTGGTGTTCCCAAGAGCATTTCAAAAATCACCACTCTGTAAAGTGACGCGAAAGGTTCAAAGTGCACACACCAGCAAGAAACGGTACTGAACACACCTATGAATGACATGTAGACACTTGTATTAAAGCAGATAGGGAAGTAGGTGATAAAAACACATACATCCGACAGCATGCTTGTCACATAGTAGTTGGCTAATTAAATATTTGACTTAAGATGCTAATTACTTAATTAAACGAGACTAAGAGTCTGTAGCCACACTAGTGGATGAATGAGGATGTGACGCTCATTGAAACAAAAGCCAAACTGGTAGATAAACCAAAAGGACCACCGGTTTTCACAAAGACCACAAATGTCTGCATCAAACTGCAGGGTAATCCATCCAGCAGTTTCCATCCATCGACAGGAAATGTATAACAGTTGCTGTGACGTTACGAATCGCCCTCTGACGACCTCGCAGATGTCGAGATATTTCGCTTGCTTATATATGAAACTTTCGACCTGCTGGTGAGGAACATGAAGGTTTGAATCAAATTACATGGTGATCCATCCATCAGTCAAAACCGCAAATGTCGACCACATGGTGACACTAGAGGAAAAGTCAGGGATCCACCGTATGGGAACCAAGAATGTCTGTGTAATCCATCTAAAGAAGTCAACCTGCTGGTGCTGCTTGATGGGCACCAATAACAGCTGGATTTATCCACTGAGGACTGTGAATGTTTGTACTAAATTTCATGGCAGTTTATCTAATAGATTTTGAGATATTTCAATCTGGACCAAAGCACCGGACTGATCAACCAACAAACAGGCTTTGCCATCCCTGGAGCCACTCCACTACTTTGGTAAAAAAAAAAGAAAAAAAAAGAAAAAGAAATTGGCCTTTTGCAGTTTATGCCTTTTGAAAATTAATTACTCGATTCAAAGACAGGCCCGAAGATGAGGCACAGTTTCCAACAATCTCTGTTCTTTTGCGAAAAAACATGACAAATGTACCAAAAACCTGAACATAAAAACACCGTCAAAAGCTGAAAAAAAAAAATAGTTTCCAACTGCATATTGGGGTATTAGAGATTTAGTAAGAAAATGTCTGTGCGAACTCCTCTGATTCAGACACCAGAAGTGTGAGTTTAAATTCCTGGTTACATGTGCCTACAGGCTCAGGGATTTGTTCGCTCCCAAGGAAGGAAATACTGGTGAGCTTGTGTTTGGTAAGAACATGCAGATCTCTTCTTGACCCTCGCTCTGAAGTAAGTTTTCCATATGGCAGAGGCAGAATGGGGGGGGGGGGTCTGAATGAGACTCTCTCATTTAAGCAGCTGTCAGCCTTCCAGAAGCTCCACTGCCTCACACGGTTTCACATGCTTGAACAAAGACAGTAAACTAGAGATGCTGACGAATCCTGTCTGCTTCCAATACCCTACAGTACATGAAAATAAGGACCTACCTTAAGAACTAAATTCATTTAAAGCTAAAATTTACCGAGAATGATGGAAAGTAACAAACTGGATCCTAAAGCTAAAGTGCCCGCTCCATCGAAAACGTTCCTAAAATGAGCAAGAAGCACTAATTCAATGCATCCTTGTTGATTCCTATATTTGAGACTGTCCTGCCCCTTGAGAACTGGTTCCATGTCTTGCTCCAATAACAACTGCTGCTGAACTACATATTGCGGTTTGAGTTGCGCAACTCCATAGAAACGGTAAAAGCAGAAGAAAAAAACATTACTTCAAACATAAAAACAGGAGGTATCGTACAGGCTGACTAATATCCCCAAAGCTCCAATTATCATATTGACTTCATGGTGTCTTGTGTGCGATACACTTTCACTGTTGAGAACGCTTTTACAGGCAGACTTGGGCCTATAAAATCTAGGTGCACTGCATTAAAAAAAAAAAAAAAAGGAAACAGAAATTCAAACTTTGGACTATGCTTCAGTGAGTCATCGTCATGGAGATGTGAGGAGTGAGAATAAGAGCGAAATCCTCAGAGGTGAAAGCTGTTCATCATCCATCTTTTCAGAGTCTAGACTTTTCCGGTATTTTTCTGCGCAAGGAATTTCAGACTGGCGCTCAGGAGGAAATAATTAAACCCAGAGTGTGTGCGCACACGTCATCTTGTATTGTGTTGTGGTGCATGAGCTTAGCAGTGTCTTCCAGGAGCGCTCCTGGCTCTGTGCTGAGAGTGGCTGAACAAATCTACACTACAAAATGACTGTCTGTAAATTGCTATGAGGGGATTCTGTTTATACTTCAACATGTATGGAGGAATTCTGAAACATACACACACATACATTCACACATTCACACACACACACACTCACACTCTCACACACACTCTCACACACACACACACACACACACACCCTTAATCAGTCTGGAACAGAGCAGGAGCCTCTCAGCCCTGTGGGTCCTTCAGGACCACGTGTGTGTACACAAACCGACTACAGTCCATCCCCCGCTCCGCTGAAGTACCACTACCTTGTTCCACATTTGAACCTACTCCTCTGCTGTCTGGCAGACTGCTGTAAACTGACTTGGGCCATTGTAAATGTACTGTAAAATGAGTTCCAGTCTTGAGAAAAACCTCCTTGCTTAACAACCCTGTTATGTTACAGAGAAAAAATGTGTCGAGAGAAATGTTTAAATCTTTTTTCCCACCCGAGAAAAAGGTTAGCAGAGAAAATACACTCATTCTCATTTACTACATCCACACACGCACAGATCAGAGAGCTGCTGCTTAATTATACAAAGGATGTGAACAACCACTCGTTTCTATTCAAAATATATTTCTTCTTTAAGTTGCCTCTCTCTGAGAAAAGTTGACACTCTTGATTTAGACAGTTCGTGCGGCTCGCTGTTGTCAGCAGAATCTATCTGAACACAATTGTGTTTGTAAAACTAACGAAGAATAATAGATTAAGAGAAAACAATCTCATTTTGCACTAATGTCAGGGTGAAATTAATTTCAGCTGAGAAACGTTCACAAACTCAATCATTAACCAACAATGGAGATTGAACAGCAAAGGATTTGATATCAAAATATAAAAGTGATACAATGAAACACTGAAATGACTTGAGAACAGACATTAGCTGTTGAGCAGGGAAGTACACAATTACTTTCCAATGTGGTTACAGTGGAAGGAAAATATGAAACTTAGGACGTCTTGTGCAATGAATTTCAGTGAATGAGTTACCCTATATTGATGTTTTTGATAAAATTGAGAATCATTGAGAATCTGAATGAGCTGCTCGGATTTGACACAAAGATATACTTATTGTTTTTAGTGACAAAAGTGGAATAATGTGGCAGATGACATTCATAAAGGTATGTGGTCACTGAATGGAAAGCGTCCACCATCAGCTTCAAAAAAGTTTTTTGTACAAGCAGGTAAAAGTCGCTGTTAAAACTCGTTTCTAAAAATCAGAGTTAATCAGAAAGTAATCATCAGTGTAGTCCAATCACTACTTTGTTTGCATTAAGTGTATGTTTTTAACATTTGGGAGGTGTTGAGCACATTCTAGTTTTGAAGTACATCATAAATTGAATTTAACGTTCCACATAAAAATCCCTTGATACACATGGAACATACACTCAGTGGCCATTTCATTAGATACACCTATTTAAGCTACCCTCATTGATATAATCTGGACAAAATAATAGACACAGATCAACAGCAACACTAACTACAGCCACCAAAGTGATTATTAAGTTGAATCATCACCTCTCTGGAAAAGGTGCTGTATTAGACTGCAGTAGCTTTAGCTAGGTGTTCCTAATAAACTGGGTATTTCTCTAGGATAAATTCCTGTAGAGCTCTCTCAGTGGCTGTATCTACATACAGTACAGGGGACCCTCCACAGTAGGGGATGTGGTTATGCCGAGCCGCGCTGCGAGCGGCCGTCAGCACAGCGAGTGTTTTTCCACTGCACGGTGAAGTTGTTTACCTTGATGATGTGTTGGAGGTGTGCTAGTCACAAACCACACTAAGACCCTGTCGCGCCTGCAGCTCTTTTCAGCTCACTGTGGCTGCCTCTGTTTGTACTACTCCTCCCTGCAATATTCAAACGGATCTGCAGACCAGACAGCACAGCAAATATCCATATCTGTTTTTTATTTGACAAACAGCACCGCTAATGAACTGATGATAAACATATTGCGTTCCCAATAATGTTTGGCATTCCTTTGGTTTGCCAGTGGAAAGCAGGTACGGTTCGCATCAGCAGTAACGTAACACAGATCCAATACAGCTGAAAGTGATCAATTAGCAGTAAAATATGACTGACATCTGAAAGTACAAACACAGGACTGAAATTAACCTCTCAACCACAGAGATTCAGGCAGAAGCTACAAAAGCTGAACGGAGAAAGAGACTTTAAAAGATACGACTGAAGACACAGCCGAGGGGAGGAGACTGTCACGGGCTGGATGTGGTCAAACCTGCTGCCAGGCAGGACCACAGCAGCGTGGCTGTCCCTCACTGCGAGACCTGAGTGGGCGCTCGTGTCATCACGGCTCGGTGCTAAAGCAGACTAACCTGGGCCCGTGGTGGTTCCTCCTATACCGGTTCATTACATGTCATTCTAAATGTCAATACTGTCTTATGAATCAAAGCTTCAGTGAGAAATCTGAACTCACCATTGAGAAAAAGCTCTTCTTGCATTGCTTGCCTGGCAGCAGGAGAGAAACAGCGTTTCTTCAGCCACTCTGCATCAAACACGCTGGTGTGCTGGTCGGGCCACACGATGGACACCTGAGAGACAAAAAGCATATTGATCCAATATGGCCAAAATGTTTTAGAAAGTCTTTTTCCATGCGTTAATATGTTGTGAGAAGCCACCAACTGAAAGTGCACTGGGGACAGGGGACTCTATCTGGATTTTCATATTTCACTTGTTTGCAGACAGAGGATTGGTCTGCCCCTTGAAGGTTAAGCTTTTGATTCATAAACCTGAGAAAGAAATACATAAAAAAATGTCTTAATAAAAAAAGCAGATGGTGAAAATAGTACATTTTCATTAGAAAAACAAAGGAAATATCTACGGGAGCTTTTGGCCGATGCCGCCATTAAATCACATCATTTTTCGATAGCTAGATGAAAGCATTGTTGTACTTAAAAACAACCATTTACTACAGTAGTCTGTCCAGTAAATCTTGGTACAGGAAACAATAGAGCAGACTTATTGCATTTTACCTTTGATTAACAAAAGCACAGGCACACGACAGCTTGGCAGCACTGTCATGTCAAAGCAATCAGTTTCTATCTGCGTCCCACTTCAGGGGCTGAATCCTCTGAAGGACACGGCTCATAAAGGTGATTTCCTCCGGAGGACTTAAAGGTCGGGATGAACATGTGCTTCAGCCAGAATTAGATCATCTATCCGTACAGAACCTCACGGTGTAACACCAGAAAGTCGCCCTCAAGTTTAATGATACCTAACTTCAGTATGAGTTATGTTAACTTCAGTACACAACAATGAACAAAAACTGCCCGGTAATGTCAAAAATGTGTAGGGGAAACGTAACAGCGGTAATAATAGAAGCGTCATATTATATCAGTCTTATAACAGTAATGGTGTGTTCAGTTGAAAAATAGTGTAATGAGATGCTGGCTGCAACTAATGATTGTTTTCATTACCAATTAATCTGCTGATTATTTTCTCGACTGATTAATTGTTTGGTCTTTAAACCATCAGAAAACAGCTTGTGAACACCAGTAAATAAAATTCTGTTGAGCACAAGGCAACATCAACAAATGTCTTGTCTTGTTTATACGGCCCAAAAGCCTGCAAAAGGAAGATTTATATTCGTTTTGGAGAATTACAGCTCTCACGCAATTAAAGGGCTGGAAAAAGTTGGAAACTCCCAGGGTAAACAAGCGGTTAGAAACAGTAGAAGAAATATATATAATATGGAAAAGATAACTTACAAAATCAATAGCAACGAAAAGAAGCTGGAAAAAGAGACAGGCCCTCTTCAAATTAAGCAAAGCTAGTTGACTAATTATACAACAAATGTCCATGAAACATCAGACGGATCATGTTTGACAAGATGATTTAAGTAGTATACATGAAACGGTAACATAAAATTAAATATTAAAGCTTTTTATTTATTAAATACATTTATCTTTTTAATTATTTCTTCTTTTTTCCCCCATACACAGCTGAGCTGTGTGTAGGTGCATTAGTTACTATAAAAGGCAAAGAAAAGCAGTCAACTCAACAAAAGCAGAACTATCACATTTTTAGCATTTTTGCTTGAAAAATGACTTAAAGACTAATTCTCTTGATCTATGATTATTGAAATACACTGAAAAGAAAAAAAGTATGTGAACCCTTTTGGAGTGACCTAGTTTTCTGCATTGATTGGTTATAAAATGTGATCTGTTCTTCATCTGAATAACAAATGTAGACAACCACAGTGTCCCTAAGCCAATATCACATAAATAATTATATTCTTACTTTCCTGAACACACCCGTTAAACATTCACAGTGCTGGTGGAAAAAGTAAGAGAACTCTTGGATTTAATGGCTGGCCGAGCCCCATTTGGCACCAAATAACCTCAAACCAGCTCTTCCAGTAGCTGCTGATCAGACCTGCACAATGTTCAGTTTTGGACCAGTCTTCCTACAGAGCTGCTTCAGCTCAGATATATTCTCAGGATGTCTGGTGTGTGTGATGTCTGGCTCTCTTCAGGTGACTCCGCAGCATCTCTACTGGATTAAGGTCTGGGCTCTGACTCCAAAAGGCAGATTTTCTTTGTCTGAAGTCTTCCTGTAGTGGATTAACTTTGATGTTTAGGGTCATTGTCACAGCTGCATCACCCAGCTTCTCCTGAGCGTCAGCAGGTGGACAGCCACCTTGCCGTTATCCTGTTAGATAACCAGATAAACCTGGGAATTTATTTTCCCCTCGACGATGATGAGCTGTTCAGGTCCAGAGGCAGCAAAGCCTCAGCTCTGGGATGATTGCTTCCGTTCTTCCCCAATAACTCAACAATAGTTTAATCAGTCCACAAAACATTTTCCCAGCAGTATTGTGGAGAGTCAAGTTGCTCTTTGGTAAACTCCAGGGGTGAAGTGATGTATATTTGGAGAACAGTGGCGTCCCCTGTGGAGTCCATGGCAGGACAACATGCTCAATGCAACCATGCACCATGACTTGTGTTTGGCAGACTAGTGAACAGAGGTGTTAACCAGCTACAGTGATTCCTTTAAGCCTTTAGCTGTTATTGTGTTCTCTGTGTTGGCCTTTTGGAGCCATCCGAGCCGAGCTGGAGGTTCATTTCAAAGAGTTCACTTACTTTTCTTTTGCAGAATAATTTGCTGTCGATTGACGAGTCAGTAGACTAACTAACATTGCAGCTAAATGTGATGTAATTAAATCTGACAGCAGTGAGTCAAACTTTATCTCAGTCACTTAAATTTGTTTAGGGAACTTCCTGAAGAACCTTTTATGCTATTTCACTCTTTAATTTAGATTTGGGTGGACAAGACTGTCAATACCAGAACACCAGGATTTCAAATTAGACAAATCTATGGGGACCCAGTGAGAAGAGATGGGATGTCACACCGCTTGGACTGATAAAGTTACTGTGAAATCATACCTGGGGCCTCATTTATCAACCGTGCGTATACACAGTTTTGTGCTTAAACCACTGTGCACAGAATCCAATTCATCAATTTCAGCTTGTGCTTAAGAATGACTAGACTTACCAATAAATTCCCAGTGGTGGACTGGAATAATCGCAGACATATCGATTCCTAAATTACATTTAGACAAACGCCACCTCTGCCATCAATAATGGACTGTACACTGTAAACTTTCATTCCTGCATATCCTTTTATATATTTGGAAAACAAGATAATTATTTCTTTCAGAGGAAATGATCTCATTAATGCATCAGCGAGCTGATGTGGGAGGATCTGTCAAAAACATTCAATTGTTATCTGTCTGCATTAACAATGATCTGTTACACTTCTGTATCAATAATTGAATTGAGAAGTATTTAATGTTTATTTCCTGTTATGTTTAAACTCTTAAAACAATTCGTAATCTAGTGGTGCTGAGCCAAATAGCTATTATGTGTTCTGCAAATCTTTTATTTGCCGATCACGTAAAGTGATTCATGCATTAATCCACATATTTACTTTTCATTTATCTTATCAAAACACTGTGGAAGTGTCAAACAGTGATCAACTTGGCTGAACAGATTTTTATTTGCATTATTAGAGCAAAGTTTGACATTACTCTAGTACTTTAGTGTGGTGACAAATGTAAATAGATGGAATATGGAACGGGTTAGATTTATCACCGTTCACTGCGTGAAGTTGTGCATGCGCAACTTTGATAAACACAAATTTTAGAGTTTGTAAACACAGTTTCCTCGCACAAATGTTTCCACACACATGCTTTGATAAATGAGGCCCCTGGTGCAGCTCCTAAAATCACCAATTTCATTGCTTAGATCTAAAGATGCAGCACCATTGCTTGACATACTTGCACACCAGAGGCAAACAGAACAAGCAGCAGAAGCAGGTTTTAGTTCTTAAATAAATCCCACGATTAGCCTTATTTTCTAACTCCCACTTATTGTAAAGTGAATATGAAAGTTAATGCACCCAAAACGTCCATTTTTACCATCCAATAGAGTTGTAAAACCACAGAACTACAGTGGGAAGTTGATGAGGGCTCTGTAAGATTTATGGGACATTTACACAGCCGGTTTGGGCAATAATTTAAACATTCATCTTTTTCTCTTAATATAAAGCATCCAGACTGTGTGTATGAACCCAAAGAAGTCATATAATGCCAGCGGCCTACCTTGTTGTCATTGGTGACCTCCACAACGTCGACCCCTGTGTGGATATCGAGATCAGACATCAACAGTTTCCGGGCCTGAGCTGACTGCAGGGTACACAGCGGACACTGGCAGTTGTCTCTGAGCCAGGTGAATGGATACAGACTGTGGCCTCCATCCTCCCACTCCACCTCCATCAGCCTCTCCTCATCCAGAGCCCGGACGTGCCTCACTGACTGGCGGGCCACAGGGAGGGAGGCAGACCCCAGTGTCTGCTGACCACGAAGCTGAACCGAAGTCAGACAAGAGGGTAGCGGACCTGCAGCCTGCCCTGGACGAGGACAAGCCCTCAGAGCCTGGCAGGCCATGGCAGAGGTCCTCCTCTGCAGGGCGGGCAGGGCGAAACGTGCAAATGTACTTCTCCACATTTCTGAATGGTTACCTCCAGATCTATGTCTATGCCTCCAGATCAGAAAGGGCCACCAACTAGAAAGGGAAGGAATAAAATGAAAACAATGGGAAGATAGAGAACCATGAATATCTGCCTTTCAATTGATGCGTTTACAAACCAGGGGTGGATAATGAACCAAATTTATCAAGTTACCAACATAAGGAGTCTCCTGGCAAGCTAAATATACTTATGTTACAATTGTTAACAAATACATTGTCTCATTGCCATATAATTAAACAAAGAAAATAATGAACCAATGTGAGGATGGTTAAATAATACACTAAAAAGCATAAGAAACATTTTTTGTGACCTAAATTTTAAGTAATATCTGTTAAACATCCCATTTAAGAAGCAAAAATAACAGTGCAACATTTGTTTTTGAGCAATGCCAAAAACTCTTTGGATACAACTCAAAATGTGAGATTTTTCAGAGGATCTTTGGGAATTACCAGTCATTGGGAAGGACTGGTAACTGTGCCAACCAGAGGTATTTTCTAAGCTTGGTCAGCTGACTGTGTGTTGGTAAGATCTGGGCAAAGCTGAAGTGAAAAACAGCAGTGATCTGTGGTCCAGAATCCTCTGCCAGGCACATCAGTAACCTCAAAATATGTCAACGAGAGCTGCAACTGATGATTATCTTCATGAGTTATCAAATCTGCTCAAAATTCCCATCATGCAAAGCCCAAAGTGATGTTGTTAAATGTCTTGTTTTTGTCCAACCAACAGTCCAAAACCGAAAGATATTTAATTTGATATGTTAAAACAAGGGAAAGAAAATATTTGTAAACATTCAAGAACTTGGACTGTCAAATGTTAAGCAAACGAATAAGACAATTGCCACTCAAGTAATTGATTAATCACTCTAGCTCTTTAATTTCACAACAATAGCTGATTGATTTTAGTTGAGTTGTTATTGATTTCAGTATGCCAGTGTGACCATCTGTTTGCTTTGCTCTAAGGACAAGGGTTTCAGCAGGGGTTAAAAGTTAACTTTAAGACTATTTTAATACCACAGTGAATGGAATTTAATGCCTCTTTCACAAACATGCAGCAGCATGAAAAGGCATGAGAGTATGATTCAAATAAAAATAAAAAAAAAACAAGAATCAGAATTCCATAGCACATTTTTTCAGTTCTTCCCAGCTACATATACCAATAATTTCTACATATATAGCATATACAATACGCACCTGTCTGTCTGATCTCTTCTTAATGCCATTCTAGTGTAAGTGATCAACCTTTGATGCAAAAATGTAGTCAACATTTTATCTGAAGCTAATATGAGGCGGCAGATGTTAGACAAATCAAATGGACATCTTCTGAAATTCAAGTCTTTTGAGTACAAATCAAATTGTTTAGGCCTACTAAAAAGACTAACTCTGGAAGATATCCACTTGAGTTGAGTAACTCAGCAAGCTGAAGTCTCACATCAGCTTCAGATAAACTTTTGATTTTGCCCACTTCCCCTCCATTAGCGCATTATGAAGGGATCTTTTAATGGCCACTATATGAACAAGCAGAAGCACAATCTGGCATCATGCAAACTTCTCCTCGCTCTAGACTATACAAGAAGTGATTCAACACCAGTGTCAGATAAATGACCCGTCACCAACACTCAATTAAATCAGGGTAGCACTCCAGAAATATTGTTAATGTAAATTAAACAGCTGGAAAAGAGATTATTTGTGCTGTTCCTCAAAGTAATATGATGAACTGCTAATTGGAAAGCAACATAGAAATGATTAAGTTTGGTAGTGCCCATAGAAAGTGTTGCAGTTGTATTATGTTCCTATACAGCACATGCCTCAGAAACTGTTAAATAAAACTGTCATTTTAAATAAAAGTACTTTATGTAGACGACTTGTAAGTAGTCAATCAAAGTTGAAACATAAAATGTGTGCAGTGTAATGGTTTAGTGGTAATATACCTGCAATAAAAATGTCAACATTTAACTCAGACATCACTAACAAAAGGATGGATTTGAGTTTGATTAGCAAACAACAGCATCCACTGAATACAACCTGCCGTTTGTAGAAAAAAAACAAAAAAAACTAGACAAAGAGTGTGTGAACCCGGAGCTACCTGTCCTGTTTCTTCGTTTGGTTCACTTCAGTTGAAGACAACTGCTAAATACAACATTTAACCGTTAACCGTTAGCTCTGAAGAAGCCGCTAACTCGGTTGTTAGCTAACTAGCTTGTTAACAAACAACAAACATACACACACACACACACACCCCCGCCCCGGATCTTCCAGGATACATCCTAGTTTCAGTTTGTAAGCTAACACAGAAGCTAACCAGTCGGCTTTATTTAAAGTTTATGTATTAAAGTGCCCTCAAAATGGAGTAAAAACTCGAGTGTCTGCCACTAACAGACGTTTACCTGCAATACTTTGACGACGGCTTCTCTTCACAACGAGCGGCTCGTCAGTGAACACAAATGCCGGCTGTCAGTGTGCGAGAGAGAGGAAGTAGGTGAAAGGTTGACCGGGAGGCTGTGCTGCATGACATAATCACTGAAAGTGCATGAACGTTGCCCCACTTTTTCAGTCCCCACACAGACAGCTCAGACCTGAGCCAGCATGGATTGTGTTTTCATAAACAAATAGTGACTTAAGTACAGAAGCCCCACCCTACAGAGTGGCTAATGTAGGAAAACTTTAAGAGCATTTCTACTTTGTTAGGGTTAGTGTGTTGAAACATTTTACAGGTCAGTGGCTGCTCGTGAGTCACAATCATACAGAAGAGGATTAATGGCCGCATGTGATTCTTTTTTAGTTCCCGAGAAAAAAAGTCAGAACTCTGAGTTTAAAATCAGAATGCTGAGGAATAAAAGTCAGAATTCTGAATTTAAAATCAGAATCCTTTAAACTCAGATTTCAGACTTTTTTTCTCTCAAAATTCTGACTTTTTACTTTAAAATCTGAATTCTGAGAAAAAAAAATCAGAATTCTTTCAACTCAGAATTCTGACTTTAAACTCAAAAATCTGACTTTAAAATCAGACTTCTGAGATTAAAGTCAGAATAAATGTACAATCACAACCACCAAGTGTCTCTGTGGGCACAGGTTTATGGTTTTTGGAGTCTACAGTCAGGCTTAATCCCTGCAACACTTTTTGGCGGAGAGTTGAGCTAAACTCATGTTAGCCAGTACTAACAATTCTAACATGCAGATGTTCAGCAGGATAATGTTTATTGTGATAGCATGATAATTGACACTAAACACAAAGTACATCTGAGGCTGATGGGCATGTCAGTAGCTCTGCAGGTATTTGGACATGAATGTCTGTACCAAATTTCACTGCAATCCATCCAATAGTTGGCCATAAATGTTAACCTCATCATTGCAGGAAAAGTCGTGTGAGAACCATGCATGTTTGTACAAAGATTTCCCAGCTACTTCTACTGTTTGAGATGTACTTTTTTGAATTGTTAATTGTTTGAGATGTTCATCACCCGTGGGTTGGTTGGATGGTTAACCACACCTGTCATCATGAGCCCGTCAGCCTGCAGTGTTCATTTTCAAGCATTTTAAGCAGATCCAACTGGGACAGAAACATGGTCTCTTTGAATAAATTTTGTGGCTTGGAGTCAGCACTCAAGCATTAATTTATTTCATTGATACAAAAGTTGAGATATTTCACTACACGTCACATTTTGACTTCTGTTGGTGCTAGGGGAAAAATTGGAATCAGCAAAGTGGAGCCCACACACATGCCTGTACAAAATTAATGGCAATTGAACAATGCTAGCAGATCATTTTAGCATGCTATCAGTTGCTAATCAGCACCTTAACATAAGGTACAGCTGAGGTGACCCTAACCCTAACCTGCCATAATATAAAAGTCTGGCCTGCTGGTCTTCCCTTCATCTGACAGCTCACAACAGTTGTATTGTATGATTACAGATTATCCAAATTATTACAGAAACATCCAGGTTTGCTTGCTTTTTGGTTATTTCTGGTATTATTATGCGCCATTTTGAATATATTGAAGCTTTCAAGTCTGACTTTCCCCACTGTTTAAAAGTCAGATACTCCTAATTATGATATCTCTGATACGAGTACCTTAGAATTTCAAGCCATTCATGTCAACCCAATGATTGCTATTTTACTCTGAACGAAAAATGTCACGCTATAGAAAAGGTCAGGGGATCCCCACAGTCAGTAGGATTCATCCTCTGGGGGGCATGAATGTCAGGACAGCATTTCATGTCAATCCATCTGATAGTTGTTGACATATTTCAGTCTGGAGGAAAAGGGTGGACCCACCCACTGAAGTCACCATTCCTGGAACCATACTGCTAGGGTGCTGCAAAGGTAATGCAAAGGTCATATAGACTCTTTAACTGTACTATACCTGAAGCAATTAGTCGATTAATCAATTAGTTTAACAACAGAAAATGATTTTACCATTTTGATTATTAATTTATCTGGTTAAAAATCCCAAACATTCACTGGTTCCAGCTTTTAAATGGGATGATTTCCTGCTTTTCTTTGTGATATACAACAGTAAATTGAATATCTCTGGGTTTTGGATTGATGGTTAAATAAAACAAGGAATTTAAGGCCACAACCTTGGGCTCTGGGAAATTACATTGGACTTTTTTGTTCTCCTGACATTTTATAGACCAAGCGATTGACGATTAGGAAACTAATCGACACATTAATCAGTAAAGAAAAAAAGTTTCTGTGTTCAGCCATACCTCTTTCAGTTTAATACTCTCTACGTCCTTCGCAGGTTCAGGGAAGATGAACACCACCCAGCCGATGTGCAGCACAGTCTTCAGTCCAAGTGGCACCTACTTACAACTGAGTTTGGATTTTAAAAGCTTCATTTTGCAATTATTAACCAGTATCACGCAAGGTCACCCAATTTTATAACATAACAGTGACAGACCTGAGTCTCAAAGGGTAAGTGATGATTACAACTCAGTCACCTTTGCGACTGACATCAGTGCCCACGTGTCAGCTCACAACAACAACAGTAACACTGATACTGTAGTTGTATCGTGCAATGGACTTTGTGGCATTGGTTCAAACATACAGTCAACTTTCATGAAATCCAAGGACACACAGAGCATCGTAAAACATTAAATGATGAATGGATTCTAACCTTGTACAGATAAAAATACAATATGTGTATGTATATGTTTGTATGTATGTATATATACATACAGAGGGATGACAAATTAAAGGAAACTGACGCCAGAACAGCTTTGCTTTGATTCTACAAGTCTCGCAAAAGACCTTAGCGGCCAAATTAAGGAAGAAGACTAAAGGTTCCTCTGACTCTGTCTTAACTGCAACATGGCTGAGGTTAATGGGATAAAAGGAACACATTGGAAACCCTTAACAATGAAAAACTGATTCTACATAACAGGTTTGACTGACAGTCATTTTATAATTAGTCCAACCGATTAGAGTCGGATCACTCCACTTGATGATCGCTCTACAGTTTTACGCCACGTTATCTTTCTGCTCAGTTGTAGTTATAGTCACTGACTGACTGCTAAACAGAGTGAAGTTCCCATCAAAACAACAGGAGGATGTGATTAACTTCTTTAATGTTGCGGCTAACAGGTATCACAAGCTGATACCAGCAAACAAACAGTCCCAATGGAAACAGTAGAATTCTAGCGCTGTAAAATCTCTTTCACTGCTGCAAAATGACTTAACTAAGAGACTCTGTGCAATACCCTTAGGTAACTCCCTTAGCTAAGGAGAAATTAAACCTTAAGTGTCATACTTATGTAGGAAACTCATCAGTACTCATCAAACCATTCAGTAACGCCTCGTGCTCGACGGATGAATGGCATTGTCATCAGACACAATATTGTGTTCAACGTCAGCCTGTAACTGATACTTAAACTTGCATCATAAATTCACTGAACAGATTTATCTAAATATACCAAAGGTCAACCTGAGTTGCAGGGAGTTCACATTATGCAACACTTGACAAAGTAAACTGCAATATAAAATACAATGTAGAATAATGTATGTCCTCTAAGGGGCAATACTTAAAGCAGAAGTCTCATGATAGTTGTGCTCATGCATGTTACATTTATAGTTTTTCCTCTACATTTTGCCAATAATCTGTTGAAGTAAATGAGAAAACCAGGGGCTTTCCCCTCTCGTGGAAACATTGTAGGGTAAAGGTTCTGCGGCTGTATGTTCTGTATGTTGCCTCATCATGAGTGTAATCTGTGGGCTCAAAGTATGTACAGACTGTGTTTAACAACAAGTGAAACTGTGCCACTGTACTTCATAATGTTACATAACTGAAATCCGTTGGCACTTTTCGGCACAGTATGGAGTGATAATTCCTTTTTACTCAAATCCTCAAACTGTTTACTAAACCTTCCTCATGATCATCAGAGGTTGAAGTTATATATATATATATAAAAGTTGTTTTCAGCAGACTGGAGTGGAACACCGGAAAAAAAACAAGCTGTTTGTGTGACCCACCGCACCACTCAAAATACCATCCACACGACAGCCTTACATCTCTGTGCCTCATAAATACCAACGAGCAGCTTCTTCCTTCAGAGCACTGATAATTATGGGGCCGCTGCCTGTGTATAATTTACAGCAGAAAAAAAAAAGCTTGTGAAGTAAACGTGGAGGGGAACTTTGTAATTTTGAAGCACGTGGCGATACAGCGTGCAGTCCCAGTGGTTATGGGTCTGCTAAACACCACAAAGTCCAGGGACATCCAGGATGCAGCTCCACCGGGATCCCTATAGCGACATAAGGAATGGTTTAGTCTCATTTCTACATCATTAACTACTAGAAGAGATCAACAAAGGTGGAAGGGATGATTGTTTTGACCCAAAATTGCCCTCTTGACCCAACCGCAACAGATCTTAAAAAGGAATATCTCAGAAAATTGATCATTTCTGCCATTAAAAAAAACAAAAACATGCTCTTGTAACAACACTACTTCAAACACAACCTCTTTATTTGAGAAGACACAACACAATCCGTTAAAAATGTTGTCACACAGATCAGTGTTTAACATTGAAGTCCACGAGTGCTGCCTGCAGTCTTATACGTCACATATATCTTAAAGGTAAACAAGAATAGATATATGCTGCTCTATTTCAAAACTTTATATAAACAATGAATACATATTAAGGTGTTCTGTAATAAAGATATTGGCACTCACAGTATTTACTTACTTCTAATAATACACTGTACATTTTACAAGATTATACTGTCTGTGCAGTGCAGCACAGTAAAGGCCTTGCATTTTAAACCATGTCACAACCTTTAGCACCGGAAAAGTAAAGAATTGTGCAAAGTCTGCTAGCCTATAAAGCGAAAAATAAAAATAAAAATAAAAAAAAACAATAGATAGGTGTCCACATGTAAACATTCTTTGATAGTCTTAGAAACATTCTTTGGAGCCTCAGAGGAGAACAGCGATAACAGTTGCCCATGTGAGGAGCCTTAAACCAAGCTACTACATGAGGTTCACCCTGTCAGCTGCATATGAAGAGTTTTCCAAAGCTCATTTATTCAACTTTCAAAATCGAACCAGACACATAGCGTTCATTATAGAATATTGACACTGACACATAAGCTGTTTAAAGTGTCCAAAATTTTACTTAGTGCTCGAGAAAAGCTGCTAAGCCGCTAAACCAGTTTTTGGAAAACCCTTCATGCTGTAGTCAAACATGAGACTACAGTACTTATGTTTTGAAAACTCTCACTTATTTGATTGGCTGACTGTTTGAAGCCGTTGTTTTACGCACACACACATGCATGCTTGCACACACACACACACACACACACACACGTACTCAAACACACATACACACACACAATCCTGTGATTGTTAACAGATAAATTCAATGCGCTAGACCAAAAATGACCATATATGATTAAAAGAGGCATTCTTTGTTATAGATAATATTTACTGGGAAAATATTACTGTGATTTGCATTCAGTCATGTTTAGTGTGGTGATGTAACTATTACAGGATGTTTTTATGGTGTGTCTAATGTCCAGTGGAGGCCAATATCACATACACACTGTCAGATGATATAACTGTGGAAGCAAATTAAGATCTTTGGTGTCACACTCTGCTCAGACTTGACTTACCACTTACTTTCTTAGCAATGAAGACAGTTTGAATTTACTTGTATGCCCAGGTTTTGAGATATCCTTCTGAGATTTCAATGTTACAACATAAAAAAATCTGTTTTTTATAAATTCAGAACAAACGTCACTTTCCACAAACCTTGTCCCCAACAATTAAAGGTCCCATATTTTACACTTTTCTGGTGTTTTATTTGACATTTTGATATTCTTCAGAAGATATATTTGTTGTTTAAAGAACCAAAAACCATCTCCTCTCTCAGGCTTCTCTCTGGAGCTCTAGTAACAACAGGTCGGTGAGCCAATCAGAGGGGAGAGAGAGGAGGCTCTGATCCTCTCTTCTGATTGGCTCACTCTTTTTTGAGTTATCAAATAAAAATATAGCTGATTTCAGGAAAACACTCAGAGAAACCAAATCCTGCAAGACTGGATGGTGGGTGCAGGTGGGTGGGGCTTGGGGAATGGCTGAGTGTGGTGAATGTTTCGTTGTGACATCACAAAGTTCCAGAAGTCCTGATGGCTGGTTTTAAGGCTCAGTTTCTGAATACAGGCTGTGTGTCTGCTTTATAATCAAACAACACATGGACATCTACCTTTACACAATATGGGACCTTTAATAGGAAGTAGACCTTGAGTTGGAGCTGCTCTGTCAAAATGCTGTTTTCAATATTTTGCAGTTCCAGCGTGTTCTGTGGATTAATCTGAGAAACAAAATTATGTTCACCTTCATTGTACCTCTTGGTTGGCACCAGAAATTTCACACAGACATGGTCATATGAAACTGTTAGGGGCCCAGGGCAAAAATTAGCTCACACAGCCTGTGCAGCATGTATACAATGGTGCCCCTAAGTTCCAATCAAGTACAGACTATACAGAAGACTTTACATAAAAGCTTCATTATATGACCAGAAACCAGCTGCTATGGTGGAAAAACTGGACTGGACCCAACTTCATTTAGGAATATGGCCAACATGAGCACAACCTAAATTTAAATAACTAAACATGATTTTGACCATGATATCAGGTAATAATGCAGGACCTTTCTTTAATTGTCATTGTACTTTAGGGGTGCACATTCGCAAATAACCAAATTACCAAAAAACAATTCAAACAGTAAATGTGGGACCTTATGGTGCCCCTGGGGGTCTGGGGAAGTTGGGGCAGTTGCCTTTTTTGCCTGGTTGGTAATCCATCTTTGAAATCAGATATCACTAAACCTGGGCAAAATACGTGTTTTTTTTATATTTGAAGTGAAAAGAAGTAAATAAACCCCCTGCAGCAAACACAACACAAAACCAGGAAACAAAAATAAGCCTCAAAACTTCATGAAACACATTAACCTGTAAAGAGAGTCTAATTTTGACATCTGTTTGCAGCAGTGGTTGTATGTACTTATTTCACTTTTTAAAAAATGTAATTACTCATTTATTTTTAACATTTGAAGCTTTTATATCCCTGATAGGAATTTTCACTCCTGCCTCTGCCTCATGGTCACACTCAACCATAAAACTTACAAAGAAAATAAAATAGGGTAATTATTTATTTTATAGGCCGTAAATTCCAATTTAGTTCCAAATGACTTTCTAAGAAGTTTCCTGGAAAGAACCATGTAATTTGGTGCTAATTAATTAATTATAATTCCCCATACATGAAGAATAAAGTTTCCAATAATAAAATGAACAAGTAATAAATATCAACTGGGGTTTCAATGGAGCAATTCCCTGTATAATAAACTCCACACAACTAATTAAACTAACTAAAATGACTCTCAGTTTTTCCTGTAATTAGTACAAAACTACGCGGTTCTTTCTAGGAAATGTTTAATAAATTATTAGGACCAGTAAAATAAAGCGTTACCTAATATAGTACTGTAATGAGACTTGTAGGAACTATTTTCCCTCAGAACTTCATGTACTCGTTCTTCAGTCTGCTCAGTCTCGTGCCGTGGCTGCGGATGATCAGAGACAGGAGCTCGTGCTTGTCCTTCAGTCCCAGAGAAATGTCCAACGTCTCCTTCAGGACGTCCCGGGTGTGCACTATCATGTTCAGAAAGTCGTCGTTGAGCCGGTGCTCCTCCTTCAGCTCACTCTCCTGGCTCTGCTTGAATTTCACCTCCAGCTCCAGCAGCGATTTCTCCGAGTTTGTAAACGCCTCGCTGATCTGAGCCGTCTCCCTCCGCAAGTACTTCCCGTAGCTGTCCTCTCCGTCCAGGTCGTAGGAGATGCTTTTCCCGATCCCCTCCAGCACCCGGGCCGAGTCCTCGATCTGCCTCTTGATGATGGTGAAGTCATCGCGTATGACGGCGTCCTGGTCCTCGTCGAGACCGCACTTTCGCTCGTCGGTCATTTTAAAAAGCATCTGGCATTTTTCCGGGTCGTCGTTTTCCTCGTAGTCTCCGTCCGGCACGAAGTAGTGATGAAAAGTGCCGTTAGACATCTCCGGGTGTAAAGGTCCGCGGAAAAAGGCTCCGCACATCGGCAGCGATAACATCCCGGCACACAGGAGCAAGTGAAGAAAAGCCATGATGCCCACTTGTCCCAAAAAAAATAAATAAAAAAAAATAAAAAATATTGGAAATATTAAGAGATTATTTCAGTTGAAGATGGGACTATTTAACTCCAACCCGGCGTAGAAACACAAACATTTCAGTCAGGTTTAAACGTCCAAACTGCGCAGTTAGTTGAAGCTTTCACGTCCGACCTCCTCAATATCCTCGTTGTACAAACAGACACAACAGATTTGTGGCGTGAAAAAAAAAAAAAAAAAAAAAAAGTTTTAACAACCTCACTTCTCCTCCTTCAATCGAGCCTGCCAACTTCCATCACTGTCGGTGGAGAAGAACAGGAAAAGCAATGTATGAAAAGTTTGGGAGGTTTCGGCGTGGAACACACTGTTGTACTCCTGACTTCACTCGGTGCCTCAAACGCAACATCTGGATGTCTCAAGTGCCGCGCTCCGGTTTTTGGCTAATAATACCTTCTGTGCTACTCCTCAAATTACAAGCCCCTCCGTCACTTAAAAGGCTGCATTCAGCTCGGACCGGGATACCAGAGGGGGGGGGGGGCAAGCTGTTAAACCGGGGAAAGACCAAGTTCGTGTTAATTCACATAACCGTGACAAGTTGGCGTTGGATAGTTCAAAAAGTTATATTACACTGCTGAGAAATACACAAGTGCCCACTTATAACTTGAAATGTAACCCAACACACCAGTCCTGTAATTATAGTCCAGCAGTACGTGTATGGATTTACGTAGTAGTAGTACGTTTGTGGATTCAATTGTAATTTCTGAGACATTTGTGGTGTTATTGTAGCTGCTGAACCAGGTTATTACATTATTTGAGGTTGACTCAACCTGGTACAGCATTAAAATGGTGCTTATATATTTATTGATAATCAAAAGTAATAGTAGATTTATAATGATATAATTCAATTCTGCTGCTGCTGCTTTTACTTGTGATACTTTAAGTACATTTTGATAGATAGATAGATAGATAGATAGATAGATAGATAGATAGATAGATAGATGGATAGATACCTTATTTTATCCCCTAGGGGAAATTCAGGAGTCCAATTGTATCATTAGTAATAATACTAATAATAGTTAATAAAAAATAATAAACAATAATAGTTACATTGATGATATATATAATTGATGATGATACTTGTGTATTTAAATAACATTTTCGATGCAGGATTTTTGTAATTGATTATTTTCACACAATTGTATTTCCATTTTTCCTTAAGTAAAGTTTATGAAAACATCATCCACCACTTGCCATAATACAGCCTGGTAGGCCAGTTACTGTTACTGAGCACTTTATTAGGAACACCACTTAAACTGGTTATATAGGCCTCCCTTTTCTCTCTAAACAACCTCAGTTCTTCCTGGCATGGATTCCACATGCCTTTGAGATTGTGGTCCATGTTGACATGATTACATGACATCATTTCTGCAGATTTGTCAGCTGCACATTCATGCTCCAAATCTCCTGTTCAACCACATCCGGAAGGTGTTGTGTTGGAGTCACAGCTGGTGACTGCATGGGGAGGCCACCGAAGTACACTGAACTCATTGTCATGTTAATAAAACCAGTTTGAGACAACTTTTTTTTTTCCAGTTTTGGTGAGCCTGACTGGAAAGGAACCCAACAGGGTCGATGTGTTGTGCACTCTGACATGCTTTTCTGCTCATTATCTGACTCGTTAACTCATTATCTGAGTTACTGTAGCCTTTCAGCTCCTGACATCTCGTTGTATGTGAAAATCCTTGAAGAGCAACAGTTTCAGAAATACTAAAACTAGCCCATCTAGCCACAGTCAAAGTCACTGAGATCACATTTTTTCCCTATTCTGATGTTTGATGTGAACTTTAACTGAAGATGGATAATTGCACGAATAAGGAGGTGTAAAGGTGTTCCTAATAAAGTGCTCAGTGCTGTATACTCCTTAAAGTACAGCTGAATTTTGGCCACCTGACCCTCCACTTTATCCCTGCCAACAGTTGTTAACATGTAAAATTTTAATTGCATTTTAAAGGCTTTAAATGCTTCTTTTTTTTTAGTGCAAGTGCAAAAGTCATTATCCAGTACCAGAAATACAGTTGTAGAGCCTGTGTCTGGCCTTTGTAGGTAGGAGCACATAGAATTCAGGAGATATAAAATCATGTTCCCCAAGCTTCCTTTAACAGACTGACCACCTGTTTTTAGTTGCCTCCTGGTATCAAATGACAAGGCAAATAAAAATACACATGATTGTCACCTGTTGAGTAATGGGAGCTGAAAATCTTGGTTGCAGTTTTGGCCTATAATTTGTCTAGATTTTTTTACCACACGACTCTGATTATAATTGTTCTTACAGTATTTGGGGAAATAAAAGAAATGTTCTGAAATACGCTCCTCAGTGTGCCAGCAGAAGATGCATTTTAAAAACGTTGATCCAAAAAATGCTATTCAAATGAAATGATAGTGGCTCTTCCAGCAGGATTAAGCCGCCAGTCACAAAAGCAGCGCCCCAAGGGAAGAGGGATTTTCAATGTGATCATCTATTTCAAGAACTAACATGCTAAGAGTGATCTAATTTGCTAAACCCACAATTCCACTCAAATGTGTGCATATCTTTCCAGTGGAAAACAGCAGACGTTACAGCGTCACCTATACCTCCGGGGAGTCCTGCTCTCATTTTTCCACTGTATGAGTGATTATTCAGGGTTGTGACCTGCGTAAGTGAAGCTTGAGCAGATGTGGTAAACAGGCATTGTTAAAAATCAGGTTTATTGATCAAATAAAATATCCTACTATAGGACAAAAAACTGGAGGTGAATGACTGTGTTACATAAGCCTTACGTAAACCAAGGTCTGCACTGCGCATCAGCCTGATTCACAATGTCCAAAAAATGCCTCACTGCTCGTCGTGTCTGTCTTACCTCAATAACGACAGAGAAATCGAAAGACCATAATTTCATGTTGTCTGCCACCTAGTCCTCGTCTCAAACTCACTCTTGCACTGAAGTTCAGAGATTTTACAATTACAAATTCTGGCCTCTGCGTTGACAGTAATAATATGCATGGACATGTGTGCACCTCCACTTTTACTGGAAACCCGCAGTGCTAACTCCATTAGAAAAGGAATATACTGTCGGAGACCAGAGTGGCAGCCTGGAGATGCATAACAGCATCTGCCCTGTGACATTACTCTGCAGAAGGAATTTAAATGTGGTGTCAGACAAAAAAAAAAAAAAAAGAAGAAAATGGAAAATGAAGTCATGTTATGGGGCTTTTTTTAGGGTGTGTGTCCCTGTCTTGATTTCAAGTCTTTTGTGGCACATTTGCATTTACATTAAATCATTCTGAAGAGGGGAGAAACTCCACCTACTCACATAGGACAGCAAGGAGTTGGTGGTGACCTCCCTCTTTTTGCACTTCAGCTGGAACACATAACACAATCCAGAGACTGTCTTTCTCTCACCAGTCCTCTGTTGTGTGAGCCGCTGAAGCATCTATTTCGACCTCTCTGTCTGCATATTGGATGAAATTAAAATTTAACAATACGTAACAACATGTAACAACCTCGTTTGTAATAAAGTGCCTCCAAATTTGAGCTAAATTGACCTAGTTGGGATTAGATCCCAGCTTGGCAAACCTCTGATTTTCAAACTTGAATGAAAATGATTCAACAATCAGGCTCAAAGAGTGCTCGCCCTGATTGCAGAATAGATTTTATTTATTTTAAATTGTTGGGAGCAATTGAGACCGACTTCTGCACTGAACTGTATTATGTTATTTTAAACCTTGCAATTGAGTTTATAGTATGTTTAAGAATATGGTCATTAATGGCTCCTCTAATTGACCTAATTCTGGTAGGTGTTGTGTGGCAGGTGAAATAAAACTAAGTTTTGCTTGGTCTATGTTCAGAACAGAAGTCAGCGAGTGCAAACAAGTCCAAAAGGAAGCAGACAGGCAGATAAAAACAGGCAGAGATCAAGCCGTACAAACAAACAGGCAGGGCAGGAACAGATGACTGAAGCACAGCGGCACAAAGCTACACTGAACAATCTGCAGAGAGCTAGTTTTGTGTGTATATATATATATATCTAAATATATATATAAAGTGCTGTTAGGGGGATTAGGAGTTACAAATACAGTCAATCAAAGCCAATGTAAGACTCCATTAGCTACTACCAAGATAGTAAAATTACATCATAATGCAAAATAATGTAAATTTAAATCCAAGACAAAAAGAGGAAACAAGAAAATAACAAGAAATACAAACGACTACTAATAAGGATAAAGTGACAAGTTAAAAAAAAACAGTAATACCACTAAAAACAGCTTCAACAGTGACTGAAGAATAAAATGAGGTTAAAAAATAAAAAGAAAAGGATCATATTCTAATATTATGTAATAAAACATGTCCTTATTGTAGAGGGGCTGTTGTTCTGTGCCATTAGATATTTCTTTAAACTCTTCTTTGAAAACACTTTTACTTGTAAAATGTGAAATATCTGAAAGCAAATCATTCCATGTTTTCATTCCTCTGTACACTGTCCTCAGTCCGCTGCCTCGCATTAGTTTCTGAGACTGGAAGTAAAAAAACCACCTCACAAAGGTGATCACTGTATTGAGCTGCATTTCATTGCATAGATTAAAATTTTTGCAAAAGCACAAAGCTTTTTCTTCTGCATGAAATTGCTGGAATTGCTCCGGGAAAGCAACTCAAGTCGTTTCTAACCTAGAGAATCAGTGCCAATAGTCGAGTCTTAAACTGCTATTAAAGTGGCATTAAATGAAAATAAAATAAAGTTTGAAAAGTTAAATATTCAGGAGTTTAAATACGTCACATCTTCTGACTTAATCTCAGACACAGAGCAGTTTGTATAGTGGGAAAAGTCGACTTGTGTGTCCAATGTGTCACACATCTGTGTCCAATGCTGCGACAAAATTCTGCCACACTCACTCAGTCTCACCCAATTAGACGTAACAGAAAATCTATGAAAATGTTTTTGGCTGCACGTCTGCTTACTTTGAGCCCTTACGTCACAGTTTGCTTCAAATTATATCCAGACTCCATACTTTGCAGCGCTCTCCTTCAAAAACCCTTCTGGCAGTCTGCTGCGGAGCACCAAGCCAGAGAAATGAT